TCACTCAGGAGTGGAAAGGTACTAGGACCTGTGTCCCAAAGAGGAGATGTGGCTGATGTTGTGACTGATCCAGAAGGGAGAATGACAACAGAACCTGAGGAGGACAAGAACACCACAGATGGACCCACTGAAGTAGAGAAAGACCTGCTGCCGCCAGCCAGAGTCTATGTCCCAAAGGTTCCTTACCCTACTCCTCCAAAGAAGTCTAGGAAGAACCTGGAGGAGGCAAAATGCAGGGAGATGGTGAATGATCTGGCTGTGAAGCTTCCTCTAGCTGATGCAATCCATATGATACCTGCAATGAAGAGATACATGAAGAGCCTAGTAACAAGCAAGATGACTGGAGAGGAAGACTTCATCAAAGTAACAAAAGATTGCAGTGCTGTTCTCCAAAACAAAATGCCTAAGAAGTTGGATGACCCTGGGCGTTTTGTTCTCTCAGTGCAGATTAGAGCAATGACTTTTGCTTGTTTTTTATGTGATCTGGGCTCAAGTGTCAACTTGATGCCATACTCAGTGGCTAAAAGACTTGGATTCACAAAGTTTAAGCCAACAAAGATCTCCCTAGTTTTTGCTGATAGATCTGTAAAGCTGCTAGTTGGAATCCTTGAAGATCTGCATGTGAAGGTTGGCAATGCATATGTACCTGCAGATTTCGTGGTACTTGAGCTAGATGAAGAACCAAAGGACCCTCTCGTCCTAGGGAGACCCTTTCTATGCACTGCTGGAGCCATAATCGATGTCAGAAGTGGGAGGATAGACCTTCATCTTGGAGACATCATCCTGAAGTTTAAGATGGATAAAATGCTGAAGAAACCTATGCTTGGTGGGCAAACCTTCTCAGTGGATGACTCTCTAGAAATTTCAGAGGATGCTGATGCAGAACTTATAGTACAAGACCCATTGGAGATTGCCTTAACACAAGTTGCAAGTGAACATGGATTTTTCAACCAAGAGGCAGCTGAATATGCAAGGATGATGGACTGCAGAAGAACCATAGAGAAAATGGTCGCCCACCTCAGTCTTGATGGAGCTGAATGTGCACATCCAGCAAAGACCCAACCAGAACCACAAGCATCCACGTGGAGTGAGCTGAAAGCTCCAAAAGTTGAGCTCAAAACACTTCCTGATGGGCTAAGGTACGCCTTTCTTGGTCCTAACTCCACTTATCCTGTCATCATCAATGCGAAACTGAACAATGCTGAAACTGCTTTACTTTTGTGTGAACTTAGAAAGTATCGCAGAGCCATAGGTTATTCATTAGATGACATCACAGGAATTTCACCTGATCTTTGCATGCATATGATACATCTAGAAGATGAATCAATGACTTCTATAGAACATCAGAGGAGGTTAAACCTAAATCTAAAAGATGTTGTTAAGAAGGAGATAATGAAACTTCTAGAAGCAGGAGTGATCTATGCTACTTGTGACAGTAGTTGGGTTAGTCCTGTCCATGTAGTGCCAAAGAAAGATGGTGTGACAGTTGTTAAGAATGATAAAAATGAGTTGATTCCAACTAGAACTGTTACAGGGCATAGGATGTGCATAGATTATCGAAAGTTGAATGCTGCAACTCGTAAAGATCATTTCCCTTTGCCATTCATTGATCAGATGCTTGAGAGATTGGCTAACCATCCTTACTACTGTTTTCTATATGGTTATTCTGGTTTCTTTCAGATTCTCATACACCCAGATGATCAGGAGAAAACCACATTCACTTGTCCTTATGGCACTTTTGCTTATCGCAGAATGCCATTTGGCTTGTGCGATGCCCCAACCACCTTCCAGCGCTGTATGATGTCAATTTTCACTGACTATATTGAGGACATAATGGAGGTTTTCATGGATGACTTTTCAGTCTATGGATCCGCCTTCTCTGTTTGTCTTTCTAATCTGTGCAGGGTACTTCAGCGCTGTGAGGAAAAACATCTTGTGCTGAACTGGGAGAAGTATCACTTCATGGTGAGAGATGGGATTGTTTTGGGACAAAAGATTTCAGAGCAAGGCATTGAAGTGGACAAGGCGAAAGTTGAAGTAATGATAAGCCTGCAACCACCAACTTCTGTCAAAGGGATCAGAAGCTTTCTTGGGCATGCTGGGTTCTATAGAAGGTTCATCAAGGATTTTTCCAGGATAGCTCGCCCTCTAACTCAACTGCTATGCAAGGATGTGAAGTTCCACTTTGACAATGACTGCCTTGAGGCCTTCCACACAATCAAAGGAGCACTTGTCAGCGCACCAATTGTTTAGCCTCCAGACTGGGAGTTGCCCTTTGAAGTAATGACGGATGCCAGTGACTATGCAGTAGGAGCTGTCTTAGGACAGAGGAAAAACAAGAAGCTTCATGTCATTTACTATGCTAGCAGAACCCTGGATGATGCACAATGCATGTATGCCACAACTGAGAAAGAACTTCTTGCTATAGTGTTTGCTTTTGACAAGTTCAGACAATATCTTGTGTCTAAGGTGATTGTGCATACTGATCATGCTGCTTTGAGATACTTGCTGACAAAGAAGGATGCCAAGCCTAGGCTACTGAGATGGATACTTCTGTTGCAAGAGTTTGATCTTGAGATCAGGAACAAGAAAGGAGTTGAAAATGGGGTTGCAGATCATCTTTCTAGGATGCATGTAGAGGAATCAGTTCCTCTGGATGATGACTTTACTGAAGAGCACGTGTATGCCATCAACCTTGGGGACGTGCCAGCTATTCATACATCACCTGGCACCACCACACACTCAACAATGCCTTGGTTTGGGGACATTACAAACTACCTGGCTGCAGAGAAAGAACCCGCCGGTTTTGTTGGGTACAAGAAGAAGAAGTTCTTAAGAGACATCAGACACTATTTTTGGGATGAGCCTTTCTTATACAAACAATGTGCTGATGGCGTTTTCAGGAGATGCATACCAGAAGAGGAGGTTCCAGGCATTCTGTTTCATTGTCATGGTTCCAGTTATGCAGGACACTTTGCTACCTTCAAGACTGTCTCCAAGGCTTTGCAAGCTGGTTTCTGGTGGCCAACAATGTTCAAAGATGTACATGCCTTTGTCTCTAAGTGTGATTCATGCCAAAGACAAGGCAATATCAGCAAAAGGAATGAGATGCCTCAGAACTTCATCTTGGAAGTGGAAGTGTTTGATGTGTAAGACATTGATTTCATGGGACCATTTCCATCCTCTTATGGGAATAAGTTCATTTTGGTTGCAGTAGACTATGTGTCTAAATGGGTTAAAGCAATGGTCAGTCTAACTAATGATGCAAAAGTGGTCTTGAAGATGCTCAAATCAGTGATTTTTCCAAGGTTTAGAATTCCTAGAGTTGTGATCAGTGATGGTGGTTCTCATTTCATCAACAGAGTCTTTGAGAGTCTGCTGAAGAAACATGAGGTCAAGCACAAGGTGGCCACGCCATACCACCCCCAAACAAGTGGCCAAGTCGAAATTTCTAACAGGGAGATCAAAAGTATTTTGCAGAAGACTGTGAACACAACTAGGAAAGATTGGTCTGTCAAGTTGGATGATGCTCTTTGGGCATATAGGACTGCTTATAAGACACCTTTAAGCACGACCCCATTCCACCTCATCTATGGGAAATCATGTTATCTTCCAGTGGAGTTAAGAGTACAAAGCAGCATGGGCTGTCAAGCTGTTGAACTTTGACATCAAACCTGCCTCTGCAAGAAGGCTGATACAACTGAATGAACTGGATGAGATCATACACATGGCTTATGAGAACTCTAGGATCTACAAAGAGAGAACTAAGGCCTACCATGATAAGAAGATCATTCCAAGGAGCTTTGCTGCAAATGACCAAGTCTTACTTTTCAATTACCGCCTGAAGCTGTTTCCTGGGAAGTTGAGATCAAGATGGTCAGGCCTTTTCACAATTAAGGAAGTGCGCCCTTATGGAGCCATTGTGCTTTTGGACCCACATGGGAAGGAGTTTGTGGTCAATGGTCAGCGACTCAAGCCATATCTTGCTGATACCGAAATCACTGAAGGGGAAACCATTCCCCTAAGTGATGCACTTCCAGCCTAAAAGGCAACCAAAATCAAGCTCGGGACTTAAAACAAACGCTTGGTGGGAGGCAACCCACTGGTAAGTGTATATATTTCATTTCATATTCTTCCTCTAACATTCAATATTTAGTTTTCAGGTGAAAAAAAAAAAAAAAAAAAAACAGATCGACCGAGCCATGGAGGGATCGATCGATCCTTCACGACGAGTTTCGCCCGAGAGATTTTAGATCGATCGGTCCAGAAATAGACCGATCGATCGGGAAGCTGGAATTTCACCCGAGAGTATTTAGATCGATCGGTCTGTATCAGATCGATCGATCCAAAGAAGGCAGAACGACCCGAGAAGATTTAGATCGATCGATCCGTGGCCCATGTAAGCCCACGATCCCCGTTTTTATCAATTATTGGTTTTCTTTGGTTTATTTTACTTAAACCAAACCGAGAAAACACGATTTAAAATAAATAAAAAACATCTCATTTTGGATCAAAATCGGGTTTTTCTCCCTCTTCGTCTCCCCCTCGAGTGTTCTTGGTGATTTTGGGAAAAAATTTCACAAAACCATAACTTCTTCAATTCTTAACGAATTTCGGTGATTTTTGGGTCCATTCTGCTCGGTTTTTCATCCTCTATCTGTTTATCCAATCATCTCACTCGATCTGCAAATGTATGACACTCTTTCACCACTTTTTCAATTCGTCCTAAATTGTTCAAGGTTAGAATTTTCGGGTTCTTGAGAAGTTTTGACTGAAATCGTGGCTTACTATAGTGTTCTAGGATTGAACCCGACCCTTTCCATGCCTTAATCTGCTATTTTTGGTGATTTGTCTTGAGCTTGAGAATTTTCATGGTGAATAGTGCGAAATTGAGTTTATTTTTCGAGATTGATCCGAAAATATGTTGTTTGATACTGTTACTGAATTGTTTATGCTTCATTGCCTCATTTGGTTATTGATTGTGTCAACCATTGTTCCAGTTTATCAATTCCTGGAAATATTGCCTCTTTCTTTGAGAAATCTAGGATGAATGTGGTATGTTGTTTGTTTTTGCAGACAATGGTGAGGACAAATGATTCCACCGGATCCAGCAGAAAGCAGCCAACACGAGGCTCGAAGGCACAGCAGCAACAAAAAGGCAAATCTGTTGCCGCCTCCTCAGCCCACGCTACAGAACCAAATGAGGAAGAAGAAGTGTATTTCAGCACAGCTCCCTGGCCTCGCCCTGACGCCAGACCTTTCGTGTTGTCCAGGCTTCCGAACGACGTCACAATGGCTCAAATCAAGAAGTCACAAAGCTACGTGAATCCCGAGCGAGGTTACCCGTGGAAGGACTACAATAGCGCCTTCTACAATGGGCTGCTGAGGGTTAGTCTTGTCCCCACTCGGATTGTGGATGCTAGGACTCTGTGTAGGATGGGGATCAAAGATGATATTTATAAGATGCTCGAGCAGATGGGCATGGGACGGATTGCATATGACCACTACCCCCTCTACCCGGAGCTAGTCCGTCAGTTCCTTGCTTCCGCGAAGCTCTATTTCACGGATCCCTTGCACCCTGTTGCTAGTGAGGGAGTTCTCACATACCTTCTGCGGGGTGCTCACTATGAGATCCCCATTTCTGCCTTATGTGAGCTGTTTGGATTTGATTCTAGGCAGGAGTTGTGCAGAGTCCCGACTAACTTTACACAGATCACTGAGTTGTGGCCAGTGATTGGGACAGGCCCTTTTGAGTCTCGAGAGGCCAAGCTGACATTGATCAGGAACCCTGTGGTTCGAGTGGTTGCTAAGATCTTAGGCAACATCATGTTTGGCAAGGAGGAGTCAGATGCTTTGAGGAAAGATGAGCTGTTGATGCTACATTACGGGTTGCCCTCCTTTGCCAGCAGCATTTACAGCCTACACCACCACCGGTTCTTCACACGAACCTTGGATATTTGTTTGCTCATGTCCTCGTGGGGAAGAAGTTCAGAGGCCTTACCACTTCCACATCTCGGACTGAGGCGATTGGTAGCCTTTTGACTCCCATTTTCAGGTACCATGATATTGATCTTACTTCCACAGAGAGGATTGATACACCCTGGCTCCTCAATGAGGAGCATTTCAGAGCCAGCGGGATCCTCATGCCAGGCTACAAGTATCAGTTTCAGGACAGGGATGGTCGGAAGTTGTACTGCCAGCTTCCTAACAACGACATCATCACTCTTTCTTCGCGGGCCAACTTGGAGTTCTTACCTGATGCTGTCCACTTATGCCCAAACCCGACCATGGCTTCAGTTTCTAGACGCAGAGGTAGCTCATCTCGTTCTAGCGCCCACCCACCGCACTATGAGGATGCTCCTGCACCAGACACATTCCCTCAGGACCCTTTTACTGCATCTGCAGCCCGCCAGTCCATGAAGTCCCTCCTCCCTCCTTATGCTGGTCAGTATGACCTTCTTCCCCTTGCTCCAGATGTTTCAGAGGCAGACCGATGGGCTTGGATGGTTGATTCTCAGCGGAAGAACAACTCCATGATGCAGAGGATTTGGGGAGCTTTGGCGAAGCTCAGCTGTCCACGACCACCCTCCTGTTTCAGGGCTACGGAGACTAGAGATGACACAGCTGCTGAGGAGCCAGATATGGATGCTGATGACGAGGAGCAGAATTACGAGGATGTTCCCCCCCTCAGGCGCAGACGCATACGTGCTCCCGGACAGACCCAAAGTGCTACTTCAGAGAGCGACCATTGAGAGTAGTATCATTTCCCTTGTTTTATATCATTTTCCCTTTCATTTACTTTTTGCTTTTGTCATACTCTTCTTCTGATTTATTTTCAAAACCGAGACGGTTTGAAGTAAGTCTGGGGGAGAGTATTCGCTGGTACTAATGCTCGTTGCTTTGGTTTGTTTTCTCTAGAGTCAGTCCAAGATGTTTTTATTAAGTCAAAACTATGTTTGAATGTCATGGATTTTTCTTTAACTAACCGCTCTACATTGACACTTGAAGGACCATTGCTACAACAGCTAACCGCAGATTCTGTTAAGTAGAACGCTAAAAGTGGATCAACATAACAGAGAAAGTTCATGTTCCTGGAGAGTCTGAAGGATCCAACGTTGACTCCGCCCTAATGAATTTCGAAATTCTCTTCTTGGGGCTTGGCATGCATTGAAATTGATTCCTCTTTCAGCACTAATGAAGATAAGTTTGGTACAGTCTCTTTGATCTCCCCTTGTAAAAAAAAAAGAAAGACTAAGTCTAAGAATGGTGCACTCACGAACCCGTCTCCTAACAAGGAACACAAGTAGTGAGCACTCTTGAACCTGTCTCCTCACAAGGAACACAAGTAAAGAGCAGCACCATTTCTTGGGCTACAAAATAAAAAAAAGTCGAAAAAGAAAAAAATGAGATGATGCCCTCAAGTAGGGAGAATCGATTAAGGGGAGAGAAAATAGAAGATTTGTACTAGAGACTGTCTGATTTGGAGCTTGGAAGGGAAAGAATCTGTAAGTTCTTTGATCGATATTCCCTCGACTGAGACAGCACAAAAATAACTTGAAGGGGTCAACAATGGAGAGCTCAGATTTTTCTAAGGAATGCTGAATGCATCTGGAATGATTGCTAGACTTGCGGTATGTATACTGACACATTATCTAAAGTTAGCTCTATAACATGTGGGTTCAAGGGTGTTGATAAAAAAGGTGGGGTTTGAGAGAGTTCATGACTTCTATGTTTTCAAACCTCTTTTCCTTACTCAGTATTTGCTTGAGGACAAGCAAAATGCTAAGTCTGGGGGAGTTGATATACTATGATTTTACTGATTTCTAACTGATTTTCAAAGGTTTTTATCGAGACTTTTTTGTGTTTTTAGAGTCTTTACAGGTCAAAACACGTTTGGATGGATTCCAAGGCAATGCAAAGGAAGAAATGAAGAAAATGAGCAAATTCAGTCTTTTCCAGAGTGCAGATCGATCAGGCCTATATTGGATCGATCGATCCAAAGGAAGCGAGGAGACAAGATTTTGCCCGAGAGATTTTAGATCGATCGGACCGTGAGGGACCGATCGATCCGCAAGCCGAAGATTTGCCCGAGGGATTTTAGATCGATCGATCCCACACTGGACCGATCGATCCGCAAGTCGAAGTTTCCCCGAGACGTTTTGGACCGATCGATCCGGGAGGGACCGATCGATCCGGGAGGGACCGATCGATCCGGGAGGGACCGATCGATCCGATGAGACCAGGATTTCCCGAGAGTATTTAGATCGATCGATCCAACTTTGGACCGATCGATCCGATGCATTAACCAGCCGGTTTGGTCGCGCAGAAAAATAAGGAAATTTCGGTTTTACCTATTTCGACTTGGTTTTCCATAATTTTTCATCTAGCTCGTGTCTAGACCTATAAAGACTTAATTTTCAGCCATTGTTGAGGCTACCTTTTATTTTTCATTGAGACTGAGAGCTTTTGGCAATTTGTGAGAAGATTTTTGTACTCTGCATCTCTGAGAAGATTTCTGAACCCCAGTTGATTTCTATTTTATTATTTATGAATTTCTCTTCATCTCCTTGTTTTTCTTCTCCTTCCATGTCTGAGTAATCCACTAGTTAGGTTTAGGGTTTCAATGGGATTATGAATTATTGAATCAGACATAGATAGGGTTATTTCAATTGTTGTCTTCATTTATCGTTGATCTCATTGCTGAAACTTGATTAGCTACCCAGTTTCTGATTCTAGGTTGTTTAGCACACCAAAAGTGTCTGTTTAAAAGCCTGAAAGAACATAGATGAGCAGACTGTCCTTAACCAACGAAAGCTGATGTTAAGGCAATCTGAGAACAAATCGAACCTGATCGCTAATGCTTGTTTACAATTCTAAGTTCAAACGACAGTTTAGAATCTTAGGTTGTTAGATAGAGTCTCTGATACCACGACAGTAGATTAGCTATACATTCAAGTTTGAGTTCAAGACTGTGCTTATCTGTTCCCTGAATAATTGTCTGATTCATGATCTTTGATCCCTGCGAATTGCCTTTTACCTAATGCCTGTCTTTAATTGATCTTTTATTGAATTTAATTGCCATTTACGTTTTGCATTATGTTTAACAGTCATCACATTATCTTAGCTCCACTTCATTCATTAAAATTCATAGTGTAACCTTGGTCTCTGATCCTATCTATATTACTGTGATTGTCTGTGTACTTGCAGTTTTTTATTTGGATAAAACCTGAGTGTATCATTTATCCAACAACTTTGGATCACAAACTAAAAATTGTATAGTACTAAAATTATTATTTTTAAAGTTAGTTTGTAAAGAAACTTGTTGTTGAATTGATTTCATTGTTGATATAAATTTGGTCCCAAAGAGTTTATGTAATTAAATGAGAAGGACGTGTGTAAATCGTGGCTTTTATTTTTGCTTTCTTTTCAGAAAAGTTATTTTGCTCTCTATTTATTGTTTAGTAATTCTTTTTTTTTTTTTCAAAAGTTTAATAATTCTTTTAAAACACGAAGCCACGTGACAAAATATTTTTGACCAGTTGACTTTCTGATAAGTGACACGAAAACACTTAAGCTTTCTTTGTCGACGCAAAGTCAAAACATATCATTATTTCTGTTCATCGTCCCAATTCGATTTCAGAAACACCCTAAATTTTTCCTCAATGGCATTTGCGAAAAAAAGCTTAGCTATTCATCCCAAGTTCCCAACCCAATTGTATTTCCGACGAGCTTAGCTATTCAAATCGGGACGTAGTAGCAATGAGCGGGATAATCTTGACTCTGTTGCACCGGAGATTGGATAGTTTTCCGGCGGAGATAGAGAGAAAATGGAGACGGCGATGGTGGAGAAGGAAAAAACGGAGATCGGCCTTTAGGTGGTTGTCATCTGTCGGCTAGATTCGCGATGTATGTTGCTACACATGATCACCCACAAGAAGTTTGATGAAAGGCTTCTGAGAGGTTTGTCATAAAATTAAGAACTTTAGCGTCCGATAAAAAGCCTCATTTTTATTTTATTTTCTTAAACTATATAAATAACTGATTCCAACGGTATAAATAACAAACACAATCATCAACAGTCGTATCTCGTCAAGAAAAACGCCGATCAAGATCAGCAAGAAGACATGGTTTACTGGGTTAAAAAAGATATCGAGAGGTTATTCGAATCCATGGCAGCATCGAACAGCTTTGAGAACATTAGCCATTTCACATTCTCGGGTCGCTATACTCCATCGGAATGCGAGCGAAAGTTCAACGAAACCGCGCATAAGGTGTGACAACTAGCTTTATCCTGTTTAATCCTCTGTCTCTGGGGGAAAAAGATGAAAGAAAGCAAACTCTGCTCAGAAAGTATTCTTCTTTTTCTATTGAATCGTACAGCCCTGGACTGAAGAAGAAGAAAAGAAACTGTGGCGGAGAAAAAATTTAGTATTTTGCTCTCCTTGGGATGCATCGGTACAGTTTTTGCGGCCAATTAAAGTATTACAGCAGCGTCTTCGTGAGATGGAATCCGAACTTTGCACGCCTCTATTCACAAACTTGGAAACAGAGGGTGGCTATGGTGATACTGATGACAAGGACCAACAGGTAAAACGAAACCTTCTAATACTTTAGATCTTTTGAAGAGAAAATGAAGTTTGTGGTCTCTGTGCTTTTTCCTTTTTAGGAATACTTTGATCTTTTAAGAAGTTAATGGCCTATATGCTTTTTAGGAATTCGAGAAAAAGGATGTTGAGTTACATGACGTGATAGGGTTAGATACAGAGAGATATATGCTGGAAGTTTGGATGCGTGAAGGAGAACGTGGAATGTTGCTGCTTGGGCCAACAGGTTCTGGCAAAAAGCTCCTGGCTAAAGCAGTGGCTTCTCAGCTAGGTGTAGAGATTATCGAACTGACATTACCCACCAGACACTCAATGGTAAGTACCCTGTTTTGCATAAAAATTGTTTGATCTCTGTGTTGTTTGTTCTTGCAGGACTTAAAATATTGTTGTTTACTTGCAGTGGTCTAATAAATTGGAACTTTATGTTAAGAAAAAATTTGCTTCAGCTGTTGCATCTGCTAAAATCGTCTTAATCGATGAAGAATCGTTGCATACCCTTACTGAAGAAATTATCAAGAGCTCCAAATCACAAAAGGGTCTTTCACTATTGGCGTGTACACGCAGTGTTGAACATCTACATAAGAAGGTTTTGAAACTCTTCCCTAGCAGGTGACATTTACTGTATGTTTATGTATGTTTTTTTCTTCTTTTAAGTTTTATTAAGCATTGATTGAGTGTGTTTTCTTGTATAGGTTGTTTGTTGATCTACCTAATGCTGAGACAAGAGCCAAAATTCTTAAGCAAATCTTGGAGGAGAAGGAGATCCAAATATCTGAAGATGTGGATATAGAGATCTGGTCAAAAGTCACTTATGGGTTTTCCTATGTTGACTTGAAGGTATTCTGCTTCATTTCTGTGTTAAGTTTATAATAACTTAGTGTTTCTTAATCTACATATTGTGGTAACTTTTTTATTTTGTTTCAGAGCCTATGTGAAGCTGCTGTATCAGTTCAGCTTGTGGAAAGAGATGCATAGCATAAACGCAGCAGAATTGAGGCCATTAACAAATCATGATTTGACAACTGTTTGTGACAAGGTAATAAACTTATTTTTTGTGAGTTGTGACACATTTTCCTTGTTGTCATCTTAGCATATGTCATGTTGTTGTCTTGCAGGTGAAAGATCCCATCACGATTCTCCCAAAACGAGGATTACATTTTTCTTAAGCATCTGCCTTCTCTCAACTTTGGGTTTGCTACCTTTGTCCTTGATATCTAGACTGTAAACAATTCAGGTTTGCAACCCAAACTGTTAAAAAGTTATTATACGTCTTTCATTTTTCAATTAAGGCTCAAATTTCACCAAATGAGAACGTATACTTGTATCAACTTTATCTAAAACATAGTCAAAGCTATCAGAGTTTGCCTCAGAAGCAGAATTCTTCTCATTAGTGAACAGAGAATTCCTTCTTTCACTCTCTTCTTTCTCATTTCTGATCCAAAATCCACACTTAGAAAAAATGCAATGGATTACTACATCAAAACCAAACAGAGATTATCTACCATTTATTTCTATAATTCAAAAAAAATAAATGTGAAGCCTTATTCCGAGACATAACTAAACTCTTTGAACTCGGCTTCTTGCATTAAAAAGAAAGAAAGCATAAACAAAAATCATAACTTTTATTAGTTTACTAGATGATAGTCTGCACTAGTAACTATGTATTAATAATAATATTATAGTGTAACATTTTATATACAATTAATATTGTATATAATGTTTTATTTGTACATGATTAACTATATATTAATAATAATATTCTAAAAATATTTAATAATAAATCAAATAAAAAATATTATAAATTTTAATAAAAATTGAAGATAAAAAATATTAATTAAGATTTTCAAATACTTTTTTAGATAAAAAGTATAAATATGATAACTAAATAAACAGAAAATATTAAAATATAGAGAGGATTGCTAGAATACTCTTTTAAACAGGGGGTTTAGCTAGAATAGCTGAATTTTTTTTTATTACTGAACTAATCTAGTGTACTGATTATGCCCTTCGAGCCTTTGATAATAAAAATGGTATTTACGATTGTGCCATTACTTTTCCTTTGCCATGTCAGCGAGTTGTTTGACATCAACGGCTAGTAGATTTGTTTTTCGCCAATATATTTGTTTAGTGTGGTAGACTTGTTGTTGACGCTGAAGTGCTTATGACGCAATAGATTTTTTGGGAACGGTAGAGTTGTTTCTTGAACGGTAGATTTGTTGGGGAACTTGGTAGACTTAAAAATATGTTGTGGAAGATTTTTTTGTTTTCGACCCTACCAGAGGGTGATTGGTTGACTTTTTACGTTCATTAACTTTGAATGGCGGTAGATTTGTTTTTGGACTTGGTAGATTTATTTTCATTTGGTAGACTTAGTATTTGTGGTGCTAGATTTTTGTTAATCCTAGAAGATTTATTTTGAATTTACTTGGTGGTAGAGTTATTTTGTTGATGGTAGAATTTTTAGTGCCAACGAATCCTAGTAGAGTTATTTTGCTGTTGTGGTAGATTTACTCTATTTTCGTAGTGGTAGAGTTATATTTTCCATAATTACCAGAATAACATCATTGGTAGGTTTATTGTGTTACGTGGTGGTAGACTTCTTATGTCCTGGTAGATAGTTGACTTTTTAATAGATCGTGATTGCGTAGTGGTAGACTTTTCATGTGGTATTGGACGGTGAAGAACGTTGAAATCAAATGTTGATTTTGAACGTGATAAAAATGCGGATATTGCAGTGAAGAGATTCAACCTCTATAGCGATTGTTGAAGACTCGTTCATTACATTTGAAAATCTATAGAAAGTACAAAGAGAAGCAGTTCTTAAAGAAAGTACTTAGAGATGTTCAACGAAGGAAGTCATACAGATATATGCAGCGATCCATATTACATAGTAGAAAATAAACGCTATTAAAACTAAAATCTAAGCAGTTGGTACTGAAGAAAAAGGTAGCACTCGTGGCAACACATTAATGGGTGTTTGAACCTGCAGCTTGGAAATTCTTCTACTTTGAAAACATTGGGCAACAGATCTGCAGTAGCACTCTGCATTCCCATCTTGGTTCGAGAAACCTGTATTTCAACTGTTAAACACTCGTTCATTGCATTGGAAAATTTGATGATCTTAGTGGACACACAAGTTAAAGAAAATGCATATAGAAAGTACTTAGAGATGTTCACTGAACGAAGTACATCGAGATTAAAGTATCGATTCATATTACACAGTAGAAAGTACACGATATTATAACTCAAATCTTGGAAAATCTTTTACGCTGAAAACATTTGGCAGCAAACCTTCTTGGTTCACGTTTGTAGGTGGTGTTAAATCCATTATACTACCAAACCATGTCTCATATGTTTTGACATAACGATTTGGACTCAATGTAAGGATATGTTCTGATTTGGTAGATTTGTTGATAGATTTATGTATGTTCGTGGTAGATTACATGATTTAGTAGAAGATTTATGCATGCCGTGCTGGTAGATTTATATTTACTAATGTCTTCCCCTTTTGTACATGTCGATTACTGGAAATTTCATCGGGCTCTATGATATATAGAAGCCAAATCGGTGTATCAGACAAATCTACCATCATTATCAAATCTATTATACCAAATAAGTTACATATATTAAAAATCTACCACCATAATGAAACATATCTCATACCATAATTAAATCTACCATAACGCTTAACTACTAATAAAATTTATACATCAAATCTACCATCAAGGGAAACCGGAATTTTAA